GAAAATATTGGATTTTCTAGAAACAAACTTGTAACAAACAAAAAGGAACATCATTCATTTTTCATTCATAAATTGCTTATGAACTCACCAGCTTTATGCTGATACTCTTTCTAAAACAACTTGTATTCTCAGGTAATCAGTAATACAGGTAACCACAAGATTTTGAAGGCAAGACGCTAAGGCACATATATCTTTTGAACTATTTTGACATCATATGTAATTTATTTGGAAACATGTATTTTTGCAACGATGTAACCTTTTAAATTATATTTATGATGGTTGTGTTTACTTTCTTCACTATGGTTATGATACTGAGCATGACGTCCTCCGCCCCCGAACGTTTCCGCCATTTCGGTTTGGGGGTGTGACACTTCACCACTTCCATTAGTGTGTTTCTTATCTCTAGGTGCCAACAAACTATGTTCCCTATTTCCTGCCTATTAGCGTCAGAATTCTTCTTGCACTTTGCAATTCTGATTAGGATGTTATTGAAATTCGCTGTCGAATACATATCTTTCACATCAGTGTAAAAGAAATGCTTCTTTTGCTTCCCCTTCACTTCTTTTCCTTAGAACACCACTCCTCATCCTGAGGATTTCAAGATGATCTGCCCATCCTCATACTATTCTAGATCTACATTATCAATTTTTGTCTTTGGATTCTTCCCATTCTTATTGTATGTCTTGGCAATCTCGACGTCAGATAAACCAAGATAGACAAGTTAACATTCAATGAAATTATTTAGATAGGGATACTCCAAAACAAAGTCCCTCTTATCAATCACTTTCTTATCATCCACTGTTTTGATAAAAAAAACACAAAGTGTTCATACCATTTAAATTCATTAAAGGGAAATCAACGATGGTGAACTTACATAGACTATGATCTACTCTAATGACCTTGTATTGATAGTTTCAAAGGATATTCTCAAAGACATCATCCTTTGATATGACACCAACTTCACTATCTTCTTTAAGGACCAAACCTCATGTTCTTTCTTCCTAAGAATTGCATGAAATCTCATCTTGACATACTTGAAGTTTTCATCTTCATGGAAATTATTAGCAAGCTTGAATTGTGAAAAAGTAAACATATGAATGATTTAAAGGTAATACAGCTGTTGTAATGATGAATTCTCTATATCATAACTTTCCTTAGGCATTTTTCTCAAAAGAATCTGCATTGTCAAATTCCACAGACTCAACAGTCCCATAGTTTCAAGTTTTATTCACTTCCCCCTACCTTCTTCTTTCATAGAGGATCCTTCTCCCTTTACTTCAAGAAGTTGTTCAACTATTTTAGATTCTCTATCTTCAATTCTTTTTGTCTATTTTTCTCATTATTAGATGGTTCAAGCCCATTTCCTTTATCTTTACTTGTTGTAATTGTTTTTGGCTTTACTGTCGAAGACTCTCCTCATTGATGGTTAAGCTTTTTCTTTGAATGTTGCTTACACACATCAATTTCAACATCAGTAGTTACAAGTGGTGACATTGTATGAACTGGTTTATAGGAATTAGAATACGAATTTGTTGAGAAAAAACCTTCTCTACCACTTTGCCTTTTTCTTTACCTCCTACTTTCGACAAACCACTTTTTCTCCCCCTTGTGATACTTGCATCGCATGTGGAACATTTGTGGGAAGTTGAAGTACCAAGTCAAGAATTGGTACAAGATGAGGCTTAAAACAAGATTTTATCGAAGATACAACCTTAGAAATAGTTTAATCAGACATTGAAGATGTTGAGGTTCCTGTAAACTTTGAGATTTGTTCTTGAATAGTATTAAGAGAAGTCTCAATACCCTTGAACAATGCAACATCAATTTCATTCTTTTTCTCCTACTCATCTTTATATTTGACATTAAAAGCTCGGACATCTTCAACTAGACACCTGATAGATGATAATAATCAATCCACATTCTTTTGCACACTCAGAAATAACCCATCGATCTTCTTTACTTTTGTGGTGATAAGATCAGGAACTTCTTGAATTTTTAATTCAATAGAATCCTTAACAACGGATATATTCTTCTCGATCAACTCATATGTAACGTCCGCGTTTCTTGCTAAGAATTAATATTATGATGTAATAGTTAGGGTCAACAATTATAACATATTTTTGAAGTAACGAAGAATAATTATTTGAGTATTATGTGATTTACGTGATTTTATGTGCATTATGCTTGCTTATAACCATATAATAAATTATGAATAAAAAATATGCGTCAAAAATAGAATGAACATTTAACCCAATATCTATGAAGAAAGTCGAGGTAATAGTGACAAGGATTCTGGAGATATAAAGAACATTGAAATCCGACTTATAACGAATAAGTTATGAACTGTCGAAGTTTCACAACTAAACCGCCACGACACCGTGTATCGTAAAAAGTGAACTTTTGGTAAACTACTTTTGTAGCCTTAGAAATCTAAACAAAAGTCATAGTAGACGTTAAACTGAGAGAGTGCATATAGAGAATGTCCAAATCTGACTTCGTTAGAGAAGTTATGATTTTTTCTAAGATTTGGCATAGAAGTATGCAGCCCGGAAATCGAATTTTAGATCGATCGATTTTTAGCCGAAACAACCTTAACGAGAATCGAAGATCTCGTTAATAGTAGCTCAACAATATAAACACAGACGAAAATGGACGTCAAATGACAAAAGTTATGAATTTTTAACGAACTACAATTGCCTAAGCCTGTTAAAATATAAGTTTAAAAAAAAATTCAAAAATGAGCCGACGGAGTTGAAACGAAAGTTGTAGATCACGTCGCTACCTCGCGTGGATATAAAGAATGTCAAAAACAGAGCTCATATGCTAAAGTTATGAAATTTAGAAGATAATTAATTTATGAGTTAAGTTCCGAAGCTGAAACGTGGTAAGATCTCAACCCCACCTTCTTCCCCACGGCTTCACATGTGATGTTGACACTTTGTAGGGTTATGCCCAACATAACAAGTAGTACGCCCAGCGTATCTAGTATGCACACCCCGAGTTCGACCCCCTAACCTATAAATATGAGGCGTTTTTCCTCATTTTTATTCACATCTTTTCTCAACTTCACTCCCAAATACCCCAAAACCCTCTTCCACTTTCCCTAGCACTTCCTAAGTGTTAGAGGTGAGTCCTGGAGCGCCAGAAGGCCCGAGAGGAAGAGCTTTCAGCTCAGAAGTTCTGCCAGAGCAGAGACCGATTCCTCGCTAAACCCCTTGTAAGTGAGTTATGCTTACCCTAATTTAAGTATACCTTATGTTTAAGTTCATTACCATTATTATGAACCTATAAACAAGATTTACCAGCGATTCAAAGTCGTTATACTCATTGATCTACTTACGGGGACGATGTTTAGGCTGTGATTTAGTGAGGTGTTTAAAGTGGGATTTCCAAACAGTATACTTCATATACCAAACAGACCCTACCTTCGATATGATCCTTCCTGGTTGTCCCTTACTTCATAGATAATGAAGTAGTCTTTGAGTTAATGATGAATCTAGACTAATAATTAGTCACAATAAATATTAGACTAAAATCTAGTAATAATGATATTAGGTTTGGTCGACAGAAAATAATATTGTTAGAAGCGAAGCGCTGCCCGAATTTCGAGTCATCACTTTAACAGGTGAGTGCATAGTTACTTTCATCTTACACATACATATGAAGTATTTAATATAAATTAGGTGCTATGTGTGCATATTATTTGTGTTCTTGATATCTATGCTGGATGAACAAAATATAAATGTTTTATTCCATTTAAATTGTATATGTATTTTATACCTATAGTTATGATGGGTAAAGATGGGTAGATGATATAGATGATGAAATAAATGATGAGAGGCCTTGATGTTTAAGCTGATTTAGTCATCTAGCGGAGTATAGATGACGACCACATACTATTTTAGGTGGTCTAGTGGAACGCTAGTAGGCTCGCAACCTGTAGGTGTTTGTGAACGATGTGTTCACCCTGTGTATTCCATCCCCCTCATGGTTGCCTTACTAACATATATTGCTGAGGAATCCCCTAAGCAGTATTGTCTTCCCGATGATGATCCTTAGGCTAGGTCCCTTGAATTAGATGCTTATGGGACATAAAGTGAGGATAACAGGAACGGGTAATCAGGTTGAATGATTTGATGAAATTAAATAACATAATTACTGTGGGTTGAAAACCCTATGTGCTCACCAGGCTCCTAAGCCTAACCCACTCATTTTCTTGTATTACAGGTAGTGGAAAAAGAGCACAAGAATGTTGATCTGATGAGAGATCTATGGATTATAGGCCATTAGAGTAATTGATATTTGTCAGGCATGTACTATTTCTTTTTATGCTTATGTTTTTTTGGAAACGACAAATGATTCAACGAAAGCCTCTACCCAATATTCCAAAGTAGACCCCGAGTTCGAGCTCCGCAAAGCGGGCAAACCCAACCCCTAAGGGGATTTCCAGGGAAAATTCCCACACATATGGGGAATATTTGCAAGAGGCACACAAATTGTGCTTTACCGGGTTTGAAACCACGACCTCAAACCCACATAGGGATGTAAACCCAATGCATCAAGCCAGTTGAACTGGCCGTCACTTGCTTTACCGGGTTTATGCTTACGTACTGTATTGACAATGACATACCAACGTTTTTAATATAATTAAAATACATTTCTTCGGAAATTCTTTGATAATATCTTTATCATATTTTTGGGAACAAATTACACAACATATTTCTTCAAAAGGATACTCAGATTTTCAAATAAAGCATAAACAAATCGGTCTTTTCTGGCTGTGAAATTGGGGATGTCACATCATACCTTTCCCTTCCAACATTATGTACCTCACAAACACCAACCTTGAAAGATTTCAAGTTATTCTCCATCATTCCATGAAGATCAATAACTGCTTCACACACAATCCCCTTGATCTTTGACTCTTCAGACTTTAAAAGAAAAGCCACTTTTTCTTTACGAACTGAAGATGAATCATTCCTAGAAGAATCATTGAGAAATTAAAAGATCATATTCATCTTGTACTTCAGGATATTGTATTGTTTTCCTAACATTATAGCTTCATCTGCAATATCCTCCTCATCAGGATTAAAAGTAAGATCTCCAAAACCAAAATCTTCTTCCTTATCATCCTACATATGATGAGAAGCATCAGTGTCTTGATCAAGATATTGATCAATAGATTGAGATAAAAGGAGTTTAACAATCAGTTGCGTAAGTGCCCTATCATAATTTGGAAAATAGAATGGAATGGAGGTAGATTGAATAAATGAAGTTTTAAGTGGTGAGTTTGGTGGTGGTGAATGAACTATCGAAGTATCAGGAACATATTTTCTCACCCATCGTGACATTTGAGTCGACATTAGATGTATTCCTAGGGATATCAAGATTTATATTCTCCCCCGTATTGGATTCAATAGTAACAACCTTATGTGGAACAGTTGATGTCGACTTAGGAATAGATGTAGAAGGTGTTTCATAGTTCACGATGTTTGTATCCACATTAGATGTGCTCACAAGGACATCTGGATTTCTTGTCTCCTCTGCATTAGATTCAAAAGTGGCAATATTTTATGGTGAAACATGTAGTGGATTAGTGGAAAAAGTATCATTAACTAGATAATCCACATCATCCGTATTCACTTCTTGAGTGTACTATAAAGTCTAACCTTTAGACATATCCATATCCTCTGTATTTGTCTCTTCATCATCATCTCCTTCTCCATGAACAACATCATCTTTATCAACAATCATTTGTTTTAACCTTCGAGGTAAAGGTTTTGTTGCTAAATTCTTACTACCACCATTTTTCAAAACTACAACAACTTTCCTTTTCTTTTGTGGTTATTCCTCACCAGATGGTTCTTAGATAACCACCCCTCCCTTCGACTTGGACATGGTTTTCTTTGGAGTAGGAACACGAGGAATTTCAACCAGCGGTTCACGATATCGAATCAAAACAAGGTTCGATACATCAACCAAACTTAGAATTGCCTTAGGAATCCTTCCAATAGAAAGAAATTCTGCTAGATCATCATCCAATGATTTGGGGATTTAAATTTTGGAAAACTTAGCTACTTCGACATCCACCGAAACTTGAATACCATCTTGTTGATACGCTTCAATCAAAAGTAGACCCCCAAAACTCACACTAACAGTCTCAATTTTTTTTATTAGAGTGATTTACATAAGTAGTAACCTCTTTCCAGAGAAATGAAGTATCATCAAATTTGAGATTATGGTAAAACCTACTAAAATTACGTATAATTGCAACTTTGCCTTATCTAGACCAGAATTCATCACAGTAAAACATTGGATGATCACTCCAAAGAAAAAAATACTTAACGATGGCAATTTGGATTTCCTAAAACCACTTATTAGGATAATGGATGGAGTATATCCCATTTCATTAAGAATAAGAAGGATCTGATTAGAACTCAAAACTTCAAATGGACCAACAGCCTCCAAGTTAAGAATCTGACTAAATTGTTTCTTTAACAAGTTCTTCTTCCCTTTGTGGTCCATATGTAAAGTAACCACATCACGATTCTTATCATATGTAGTTGTAGAACAAGCCAAAATCAACCATTGCATCGGAGTAGCAAATGAAGAAGATAGAGAATGATGAAGAACTGAATCATTCAAACACTAAACAAGCATTTTAAGTTCTTCAGGATAAGCGGAAACATTTTGCTTGAACAAAATATTATTCGACTAGATCATCAACTAAGGAATGGAAGTTTCTTCATCAGTAGTGTTAAATTGATCGACATGATACATGATTGGAAGTGAGCAAAGAGAATTTTGCAGCAATTTGGGTTCAGTTTTTTGAGAGAAATCGGGAGATCCCCTAAATATATGGCGTCAAATTTGAATTTGAATCGATTTCCAATTATATTCTTCCATGTGGAAAGTAGGCAACTGAAGCGACATCGTCGTGATCTGCCATGTGGAAGAGCAATAAATAGTTTCTCTCGAATGAAGAGAAAGAAACAAAAAAATAGGTGAGATCAGCTACACAACGGTCACATTGCTCTTTCTCAAACATCGAACATAAATTGCTATGACATCGAACAAGTATGAAACTTCGATAGTGAACACAGCTAATGTTGGGTCTCATCCACTTATGGGTAGAATAAATGGAATCATACACCATACTTTGCAGAATCTTGGTTCAAGTTGGTAGTGCTCGAAATCTCGAGTATTCTAGTACAATGTGTTTCCAAAAAAAAGTTAGAATCAAATTTAACAAATTTTTTGAAAAATCGTTATATCAAAGTTTAGTTGACTTTTTTGATTCGGAACTCTTAGTCGAGCTGATGGCGAGATCTTTTTTTTTTGTCAAAGATAAATTTGATCTAAAAGAGATATGATCTCGGGCAAAGATTCTATTCCTTTGACATCAATAGAGATATCAAAGTTCTTGTGTGTTTCCCATGAATTACAATTGAATACTTATAGAGAAGTATCGAAAGGCCTCTTTTCACAAGTATCGAAGATAAGCTGTGTTTTCAAACATATATGCAACTTAAAATAAAAGCAGTGATATGAATAAAAATCCTTGAGTGATCACTATAATTAACTACAAGTAAATGTGATAAGATTTTATAGTAAATAAAAATGTGGAAGTGTTCAGACTGAAATCTCATTCCATGAAAATAAAACTTAGATCTATTTGGAAGAAATGACTTGGAATTGGTTAATTTCATTAAGATCATGCAAAAATGAATGAAAATGATATTTTGAACATGAAAAAATGCATAGCAAAACTATAAACGCTTCTTCCGACAATTCCATGTTGAAAGTCTAGAACAATAAATTGTTCACAATCAATTCCTTAAAATGGTATTGTTTTGTGGGTTTCACTGAAATCATGGTGACAATGACCTCAAGATCATGAACATAGAGTTTTGCCACACCATGATTCTAGTTGGTTTTGACTAGAGATCTAATGGCTAATTCATCTAAGTGTGTGCATAGTGTAAGAAAACTGAGGTAAGAATATGGAAAATGAGTCTCTCACAAATTCATGAAGAAAACAAATTTCATCATTGAATTCTTTTTCGAATAATCATAATCCAAGTTGGTTAAACTCAAAATGTCAAGGGTTTAAACCAAAAACATAGCTAAAATATCACGTCAGTTCATTTGTTCCAGACTGGAATACATGGTATTCCCTAAGAAAAAATAATTTTTGAGATTTTTGATTTTTGTATAAAAGATAAAAAATAAAGAAAATATTTTTAGTATCTTTGACTTTTGGACAAAATAAAATAAAGAAAATTTTTTTGATGTTTTTGATTTTGGAAGAAAAGATAGAAATAAAGAAAATCTTTTTGATTTTTTTTTATTTTGGAGAAATAAATAAAATCATTTTGGTATTTTTGATTTTTCAACAAAATAGAAAAATAAAGACAATATCATAATCCAAGAAGAAATGTACCAAAACTTTGATAATAGGCTAGACTCTGCTGAATGATTTACCGCAAAGGTTGAATTCGAAGACCTTCGAAGCTCTTAACGTGAATAGTAACCGGTGAATGATACATTGCCAATGTCGAAGTTCTTTGAGTATGGAAGTCTTTATTGATGAACAATAACTTCGATCATCAAGACATGGAAGATTAGCTTGATTTTGGAACATAACAATCCTCTATCATTCCCAAGCCATTTAAAACTTTGAGAAATGATTTTTCATCAAGAGGCTTTGTGAAAATATCTGCCAATGTATTTGTAATATTGAACAAGTGAACTTCGATATTTCCATCTTCGACGTGATCTTTGATGAAATGGTATCGACGAGCAATATGCTTGGTCTTGGAATGTTGAAATGGGTTATGACATATGCAAATGCACTTTGAGCGTCACAAAATAAAGGTATTTTTTAAGTTGATCGCATAGTCACGGAGTTGACTTTGTATCCATATAACCTTAGAAGTACATGTAGCAACAACAACATACTCCGCCTCAGATGTGGATGTGGGAACAATTATTTGCTTCTTCGGCTGCCAACTCACTAAACTTCCCATCAAGAAAATGACAACTAGGGATGTTATTCGGGTCGGAACCACACCGAACCGACCTAAACCTGAATAACCCGAAAACCGAACCGATTAACCAATACAGGCTAAGTTCGGTTCGGGTGTTAATCAGTTCGGTTCAGTTATTACCCGAATAACATATAAAAGATGTTTAAAGACCTAATATAACCGAAAAAACCCAAATAAACCATATTAGGATTCTATAACCCGAATAACCTGAAAAATAGAATAACAATGTACTTTTATACATCAACGTAAAACATTCAAAGACTAATATAACACAATAACACATTGAAAGAATAGCATCTACGTAGTAGATTAACATAATGATAATTAATTTCTTACTTGAGTTTCTTGCGTTCAAGCCTAATTTTCCATCACTAGACAAAGTAGGAACACGTAAATCCTTAGAGACAATAGGAAGGGTCGATTTTTGAAAGTCTAAAACAAGAGGAAGGATCGAAAAAAGTGATTTTGAATTTGGAGATATTTGAGAAGATTGGTCGATTTTGAAACAACGAGAACGAGCGTAGGTTTTTTTTCTGTTATGAACGACGAGAACAGAAGTGTGAATCGTGATTTTGATTTCCGTCGATAAGAGAAAGGGGACAAGGAATGCTTATTCGGGTCGGGTATTTAGAACCGAATAAGCTCTTATTTGGGTAACCCGAACCGAATAACCCGAGAACCGAATACACATAATATAGATACCCAAAACCTGTATCGAATTGCTTATTCGGGTCTAATTCGGTTCAGTTCGGTCCGGGTTTCGGTTCGGTTCGACCTGAATAACCCGAAAACCGAACCGATTAACCAATACAGGCTCAGTTCGGTTCGGGTGTTAATCGGTTCGGTTCAGTTATTACCCGAATAAAATATAAATGATGTTTAAAGACCTAATATAACCAAAAAAACCCAAATAAACCATATTATGATTCTATAACCCGAATAACCTGAAAAATAGAATAACAATGTACTTTTATACATCAACGTAAAACATTCAAAGACTAATATAACACAATAACACATTGAAAGAATAGCATCTACGTAGTAGATTAACATAATGATAATTAATTTCTTACTTGAGTTTCTTGCGTCAAGCCTAATTTTCCATCACTAGACAAAGTAGGAACACGTAAATCCTTAGAGACAATAGGAATGGTCGATTTTTGAAAGTATAAAACAAGAGGAAGGATCAAAAAAAGTGATTTTGAATTTGGAGATATTTGAGAAGATTGGTCGATTTTGAAACAACGAGAACGAGCTTAGGGTTTTTTTTTCTGTTATGAACGACGAGAACAGAAGTGTGAATCGTGATTTTGATTTCCGTCGATAAGAGAAAGGGGACAAGGAATGCTTATTCGGGTCGGGTATTTAGAACCGAATAAGCTCTTATTTGGGTAACCCGAACCAAATAACCCGAGAACCGAATACACATAATATAGATACCCAAAACCTGTATCGAATTGCTTATTCGGGTCTAATTCGGTTAAGTTCGGTCCGGGTTTCGGTTCGGTTCGACTTTCCGTGCCAAATTCTCATCGCTATTTACAACCAAGAGTTGTACTATTTCTATCAAGTTAACAACGACACAAATAAACATCAGAATATGCTTGAATGAAAAATCTTGTATTCACTGGGCACCAAATTCCAAGTGTTGGAGTTCGATGAAGATATCAAAAGATATTCACATCAATGATATGTGGTTTCCGT